ATTTCTCGCTTTCTGTCTCTCTGTCTGTCTCTCTCTGTCTGGCGAGCACACGTGCCCTAAAGCAAAAACCTCTCCAAAAAATAAAAGTGGAGGGAGGTACTCAATTATCATCTGTCAGTTGAGAAACCCTGGTCAAATGTTCAAACAATGGAAATAGTTGGGTCTCTCTAACAAAAGCAAACCCTGACCATAGGCCTGGCCAGAGAAGATGAGACCCAAATAACCTCCTTCTCTGCCTCCAGCATTCGGCAATGTAGGAGAGTTCTGTCCCTGGATGTTGCCTCTCAGTACCCATCGTCTTCCTCACCCATCCTTTCTTCTCTGCTTTAGTTTGAAATTTTCACATTTTAAACATCAATAGTCTAGAACTATAAGTTTCTATTTTCATAGGATAGCAGCTGCTTGCATTTAACTTGGAGCATCTTGTATCATTTCATCAGTTTCACCCCTCCTAAGCAAACCACTTTAAGACACTTGTTTCTGTTTTTCAAAGATGGAGGAATTTATTAGCGGGGAGCATTTCAGCTGAGTTTCCTCATTTCTAACCCGTGTTTGATGATGTGGTCCCAGGGTGTGGTGATGCAGGCTGCTCTGGGAAGGGGAAATGGGAGGAAGGATGGGTGTGACGTCAGGGGGGTGAATGGGAGAAATCCACCAGGGCAGGGCAAGGGCATGCATGGAGGCAGTTTCACAGACACTTCATAGACTAAGCAGGCCTGGCTTCCTGGCGCACAGGGCAGCTCATGAGAAGGTTGCCCACCCCCAAAGGATTGTTCCCTTTGGTTGGCGACATGATTGCCGTGTATCCTCCTGTCACCCTCTGTATTCCTCACTTTAGTAGCACACACCTTTGCTTTGCCTGTTACCTCTTTTTTTTTAGAGCAGCCATCTCAGTAAGTAACTTATTCAGAGCAAAATACTCCAAGTGCTTTCAAGCACTCACTGTTCAGTTCTGTGAGGGTTTGTTTGTTTTTGAGAGGCTTTGGCTATAGGGCACGTGCACCCACCAGAAAGACAGAGACAGAAAGCGAGAAATCACCCCTCAAGGGCGGGTGGCCATGCCACAATCTCTTCTCCTCCATTCTCCTCTTAGGATCTTGGGCACACATGCACACATGTCTGGTGTGAGTTTAAGCCACCAGGTCTGGGACTCGAACCATGGTCAACTACATGGGAGTCCAGCAACATAGCCATTATGCCAACTGCTGGCCCCAGTTCTGTTATTTTTGCATAACTAAATATGCAGGAAAGTCATGACTTATTTTTTCTGTATTTTTCTATGCAAAAATGCTTCATGACTTTTCCGACCACCCAGCATATCTACAGCAGGCAACCAGAGGTTCAATAAATCTAAAGACTTGCTTAGAAAATAGAAACACTGGGGCCAGCAGGTGGCATAGTGGTTAAGGCACTGAATTCCCACGTGGTCGACCATGATTTGAGTCCCAGACTTGGCAGTTTGAAACTCATACCCAATGCCTGTGTGGGGGTGCCCAGAATCCCCAGGGGAGAGAATGGAGGAGAAGGGATAGCAGCATGGCCAGCCCTCCGGGAGGTGATTTCTTACTTTCTGTCTCTCCAGTGAGCCTTGGAGCATCTTGTATCATTTCATCAGTTTCACCCCTCCTAAGCAAACCACTTTAAGACACTTGTTTCTGTTTTTCAAAGATGGAGGAATTTATTAGCGGGGAGCATTTCAGCTGAGTTTCCTCATTTCTAACCCGTGTTTGATGATGTGGTCCCAGGGTGTGGTGATGCAGGCTGCTCTGGGAAGGGGAAATGGGAGGAAGGATGGGTGTGACGTCAGGGGGGTGAATGGGAGAAATCCACCAGGGCAGGGCAAGGGCATGCATGGAGGCAGTTTCACAGACACTTCATAGACTAAGCAGGCCTGGCTTCCTGGCGCACAGGGCAGCTCATGAGAAGGTTGCCCACCCCCAAAGGATTGTTCCCTTTGGTTGGCGACATGATTGCCGTGTATCCTCCTGTCACCCTCTGTATTCCTCACTTTAGGAGCACACCCCTTTTCTTTGCCTGTTACCTCTTTTTTTTTAGAGCAGCCATCTCAGTAAGTACTTATTCAGAGCAAAATACTCCAAGTGCTTTCAAGCACTCACTGTTCAGTTCTGTGAGGGTTTGTTTGTTTTTGAGAGGCTTTGGCTATAGGGCACGTGCACCCACCAGAAAGACAGAGACAGAAAGCGAGAAATCACCCCTCAAGGGCGGGTGGCCATGCCACAATCTCTTCTCCTCCATTCTCCTCTTAGGATCTTGGGCACACACGCACACATGTCTGGTGTGAGTTTAAGCCACCAGGTCTGGGACTCGAACCATGGTCAACTACATGGGAGTCCAGCAACATAGCCATTATGCCAACTGCTGGCCCCAGTTCTGTTATTTTTGCATAACTAAATATGCAGGAAAGTCATGACTTATTTTTTCTGTATTTTTCTATGCAAAAATGCTTCATGACTTTTCCGACCACCCAGCGTATCTACAGCAGGCAACCAGAGGTTCAATAAATCTAAAGACTTGCTTAGAAAATAGAAACACTGGGGCCAGCAGGTGGCATAGTGGTTAAGGCACTGAATTCCCACGTGGTCGACCATGATTTGAGTCCCAGACTTGGCAGTTTGAAACTCATACCCAATGCCTGTGTGGGGGTGCCCAGAATCCCCAGGGGAGAGAATGGAGGAGAAGGGATAGCAGCATGGCCAGCCCTCCGGGAGGTGATTTCTTACTTTCTGTCTCTCCAGTGAGCACACATGTGCTATAACAAAAATCTCTTTAAAAAATTATATATATATATATGAACGCTAAATGTTAAGTTCTTATTAAGAATTGGTAACACTTCCAGGATCAGCCTGAGTAGTGACAGGTCAGCATCTTTTAACTGGACTGGGTCTCAAATGCACATGCTGTGATAGGCAGGGCCCACTAGGTAGAGACATAACTGAGTTTTTCTCATGGGGGGTGTGCAGTAAATGGGTGACCAACCCCTGATTAAAAGGCAGAGCCTGCCCTCCACCCTTGTCAGTGCTACCTGGAGGTATGTGAGCCAACTGGGCAAATCTGAGTGTTCTTTTTTTTTTCTTTTTTCTTTTTTTTTTTTTGAGAGGTTTTTGCTATAGGGCTCATGCACTCACCAGACAGACGGAGTCAGAGAGACAGAAAGTGAGAAATCACCCCTCAGGGGAGATGGTTACGCCCCAGTCCCCTCTCCTCCATTCTCCTCTCGGGATCTTGGGCATGCATGCACATGTGCCTGGCATGAGTTTAAGCCACCAGGTCCAGGACTTGAACTGAGGTTGATCCCATGAGAGTCCAGTGACATAGCCATTACACCAATTGCTGGTCCTGCAAATCTGAGTTTTCTAGTGGTTAGAAATCTGCATTTTTAGTGAGAAATGGCTAGTGTTTGACACCAAATAGTGTAACAGCCTGCCATCCTGGTCCACCTCCCACTGGCCATAAGGCCTGTCCATGCAGCCAGTAGTAGTACAGTTCTCTGTCCCCAGCTTGTGTATCCCTACCAAGATGCACCTCTGGAGGAGGGGAAGGGGCCGGGGACAACAGGGTTTGAGCAAGGCAGGCCTGGGACACAGTGGACAACCAAGGCACCTGTTCACCTTCATGGCCAGGTCCAGGGGTACCAGAGTGGACAGTATGTCAACAGCCAGCTGGGAAGAGAGGGGTAGTTTCTCCTGCAGTCAGCCAGACTTCAGAGAGTCACAAGGAGAAAGTGCCTTCTGTGGGCAGCGAAGTCCTACTTATCTCTGTTCTGGGAGACACAGGCAGAAGTCTCTGCCCTGTTTAGAGATTTAGAGCTCACCTGCCCCACGAGAACCCTGGGGTGGCTGGACAGTGCCTGTAGGTGCTCTGAACACTTAAGAGGCCAAGACAGGTAAGCAAAATTTTGGAGACAGATGGTGTGTGTTACTCTCAACAATTCTTAAAGATTAGAAATGTCTCCTTTGGTATAACAGCTATGTCACTGGACTCCCATATAGTCAACCACAGTTCGAGTCCCAGACCTGGTGGCTTAAACTCATGCTGGGTGCATGTGCGTTCATGCCCAAGATCCCGAGAGGAGAATGGAGGAGAAGGGATTGTGGTGTGACCATCCTCCCTGGGGGGTGATTTCTTGCTTTCTATCTCTCTGTCTCTCTGTCTTTCTGGTGAGCACTCGTGTCCTGTGATAAAAAACCTCTCCACAAGAAGAAGAAGGGAAAAACAAAACAAAACAGAAATGTCCCCTATGGCCAAAGCTCTGGTTCCGTGCTGTTTATTTTTGGCAAATTCCTTTCCAGAGCCCTTGGAGAAAAGTTCTCCATGTGCTTTAAGTACTACCTAGCCTTGGGCAGCAGTTCCTACACAGAACAGTCTGAAAATGAACAAGGAACATTAAGTGACCTGTACTCAGAGCACCTCTGCCGTGAGCTCTGGAAACACACCTGCGGGCACTCGCTTTCTTCGTGGGGGACTCTGAGTGACCTGACTGTGCTGAGGCCATGCCCTTCCTGGACCTCAGCCTTGAAGTCACTGAGGTCCTGCTTCCATGAGGTCATGGCATGCTGAGGCAGTCCTGAACTGCTGCTGGTCTCCCCTGGCCAGTGGTCCCAGTCCAAAGCTACCTAATCCACCATGGAGACAAATTCATGAAGGAGCTGGAGTCAGAGCCAGGTCCCCAGACGCTCAGGGCCCAGGGAAGTAACAGGAGAAATGAACTATAGATGCCTCAGTGACACCAGACTCCCTCCATGTGCTCGTCTGCGATGAACAACGGAGAATGGAATCTCTGCTCATTAGAGAGGGCAGGTGTTCCTGGCAACATGAGCAGGATTCTGAAATTGTCCTGGACGTTCCAAGTCTGTGACTACCAGGCCTGGCCACTGCAGCCTGCACCCCTCACACTGTAATAAAGTGATCCACGGTGGCAAGGCAGGCCACAGTAGGTCACCCTGTGGTGAGAACAGGTGTCCCTGCAGCGTCACTGCATCACTGGAAAGAAAGTAGGTCCCAGGGGGAGAGAAGGGTTGGAGGGAGAAGCAGCTGTTCTACAGAGGAGATGGGGAGATTGTTTCCAAGTGCAGGGACATGTGCTCTGAGAAAGCCAGGCACGCAAGGACAGGCACGCTCCAGTGAGGAACTGGAGGGCATTTGCTTGGTACACATCTGCTCTTAGAGACAACCTTTTCTTGCTGTAATGCTATCTGATAATCCAGATCTGGCGTTGGTTAGTTCAAACAAAAGGGGCAGAGAAGCCGACGTGATAAGGGAAGGTCAGCCTCTCTTTTGGACCTCCTTAGGAGCCTGAGTCCTTCAGTGGGCAAATCCCCCCAAGGGAGGTGATACCCCGCTCTGGGCGGGGCAATGGGAGGTCATGTGGGGGTGAGTGGGAGAAACCCACCAGGGCAGGGTGAGGACGGGCCTGCAGGCAATTTCACAGACACATCACAGACCTAGGCAGCCTGGCTCCCTGGCACGTGGGCCGCCCTATGGCGCAGCTCCTGGGAGTGTCCCCTGTGTCCTCTCTGAGACAAGCAGGGGCTCAGCTCGTCCCACCAGGTACTGTGGTTCTAACTTTGTCTTGTTTTGATTATGTAGATCTCCTCATTGCACTCCCACTTTTCTGACGGCATACAAGAAGAATATGAATTTGCCAATGTGGGGTCAAGTTCCAGATGTCTTACGTAAGGTACTTTTTAATTCAATAGCAGTTCGCAAAATGACATAGAATGTGAATACTCAGTGTAGCCCCATGCCTGGTTTATCATCTGTGTTCGATGTATATTTGTTGAATAAAATGAAGGGGTCCCAACCCTTTACCTTGTTTCAAGGGTCTTGGGGTCCCCCACTCCTGTCCATTAGAACTAAGAATAAAGACATAAGGTTAGATTATCAAAATGGGAACCCCAAAATTAACATGAAGGAATGTGTCCAAACTTCAGAAGTTACTTCTCATCCCGTGGCCAGATCTAGCCCAGTTTCTGGCATCTCTAAACCCATCCCTCAATGAAGTACACACGCCCCCCATCTACGCCTCCTTGTACCTGTGGAATTTCACACAAAAATGCTTCATTTCTCCTCCACCCATAGATGTGAACCATGATGACTGCTGAGTGACACTCAGTGACAGTTCGTGGTATAGAGCGCTGACATTAACATGTCTGTGCCATCAGCAAACACCTCCCTGACATTGGGGGTGGGGTGGGAAACTTTCTTTCCTTGGAAAGGACAGGCGGTTCTGGGGCTGCAGCAGGCAGCGTCTGGGGCTCCAGGCCCTGTGCCCACAGGTGGTGAGCACTCAGCGAGTCTCAGCCTCAATTATGAGGAGCCCAGATGGCAGGTGATGATTGCTTACTGAAACTTTATTATTTGCTTTCATGCAGACACTGAGATGAGTAAGTCCCGGCAGCCCACACAAGCTGAGTGGGCAGATAGGGCAGGGCTAGGGCAGAGAAGAGTGACGGAGGGGCTAAGTGCTGGGAGGGAGGGGAGGAACGATCACCTCCAGGAGGCTGGGGTGACTCCAGAGGGAGTGGCATCTGCCTTGCCTCTTGGAGACTGTATTTTCACCAGTCTGGGTAGAGGAAGGGGCAGAGGAAGAGCTGAAAAGATTCTTGGGTGAAGAGAAGCATGTCAGCAAAACCGAGGTGACAGGAAATGCTTGCAGAACGTCAGGGAATGGGAATGTGCATCTCGCCTTCCTAGAAAGGGCACCCAGGAGTGGGGTGAGCCAGCTGGAGTGGAGGCCCCAAACGCCAGTGAGGAGACATTTCTGGTTTTCAGCACAGAGTGTCAGGGTCCACCAAGCAGTTGAGAGTCACTTCACTAAACACCTTGATCTCCCGGACAGTGACCGTCCTGATCCGCGCCAGGTGTGTAGCATGAGGGAGGCATCGGATTGGTGTGCCAGCTGCTACAGAACCAGCAAGCAGCCTTCTGGTCACCACCTGCACCTGAACTTTCTGTTTAGATCCGCTCCAACCTGCCCAACTCTTCACCCCTGCCCACCCTTCACCCCTGCCCTCAGGAGGACCTGAAGGCCAAGAGTCCGGAAGAGCCCGGAGGGGCGGGCAGAGAAAGGCTGCAGGGCTCAATTCTGGTCGCTAGGTCGCGATGAAGAGCAATGGGCTTCTCGAACCAAAAAAAAAAAAAAAGGCAACAGCAAAGTAAAAGTTGCAAAGAAAAAGGAATTTATATGTCTCACAAAGACAGCACAAAATAGAGGTCAGATCCTGGGGCGTGTAGCCAGAGTCCCACCTGCAGCAGGGCCAAAGAGAGGTGGCAAACACGTCTGCTAATCCTGAAGAGGCGAGGGTCTTTCATGCTTGTAAAAGGGATACCATACGTGTGCCTTACTCTGAAAGCCTTTCCTTGGGCAGAGATAACAGAGGAGGGTCTTATGGAGATAAGGGAAGCGCCAGGACTGGGTGAAGGCTCGTTAGCTGAAGCTGTCAGAAGCAGCCCATAGCAGCGATGGTAGCTGGTTCCACAGGATGTGTGATCACCCCGAGGAGACAGCAAACCTCCTGGAAAGCGTGTCTTGTGACAGTCTGCCCTGTAGAAACAGGGAGTAATCACAACTGGTAAGCAAACAGGTCAGCCACCCACTCTTCCCCTAGTTCTCCTGCCTGCCTTTCTTTCTTCCTTTCTCTCTTTCTTTCTCTCTCTCTTATTATGATGGTCTCTTTTTGAGATCAACTCTCTCTTCACAGGCTGCGTGGGAGATGGGTGAGGATTCACAATTCCATTGTTCCCACGAGGAGGGGGGGACCCACATGCCCCCACCCTCTTGGGGCTGACCCTCCCCCAGAGTGTGTGAGGATGAAAGTGGCCCTCATGGACTGGTAGGGGAGATAGGGAACTTGGGGTCCTGTTCTGTTGGGGCACCAGGAAGCACCTCAAGTCAGAGCCTGCCTGTCCTGTCCCATGGCCCTCACACCTGAATCTAGCCCCCCCCTCCCCGCTGCTGTGAGCAGGAAGGCCGACGTGCCCGTCGTGTGTGCTGTGAAGAACACGCGCTCTGCCGGCAGCTGCTGCTCTCCTGAAAGGAGCTCCAGTTGTCTCATGGGAGTGGAATGTCCGTGGACTCTCCGCCTCTTACTTCATCCTCTAAATCAGGAACCTACAGAGACTGCCAGCACCAGAGGCCCTGTGCCCTGTGCCCTGTGCTAGGAGCAAAGGTCCTACCACCTGGCACCCTTCCTCCATCATCATCACAGGCCAAAGGGCAGAACTTGGACCATCCATCCACATTCCAAGGGGCATTCCTCCCTGCTGCCAGCAGCCCAGGCAGGTGTAGTGTGGTGTGTGCTGGGCTCGGTCTTCCCTAGTGGAGAGAGAGAAAGGAGAGGCTCAGAGACAACAGGTGGAGAGTGAGATGGCCATAGAGAGAGACAGAGAGAGAGGAAGGAAGATGAGAAACAGGCAAAGGGAAACAAAAGGAGTGGCAGAGCTGACAAAGGACAACTGTAAACAAGGACAAAGAAACGAAGCCCAAACGTTCCCTCACGTAAACATTTACTGCAGGCGCTTTCTCAGCGCAACTTCACCTGCTGTTTCCCCGACTCTGACCTAGGCCTCCTCCGATGCCGCGAAGTAGGGACGTGTGTCAGAACAGCCTGATCACTGAGCCGTGACGTGGCGTGCACAGTCATCCACAACAGGGCGGGGTACGTGTGCAGGTGCCCGAAGAACTGCACGCGGGACCCCAAATCCCCTCGCCGCTTGCTGGGGCTGGGTGTAAATTAGCTAGAGCTCCTTAATCACTGTCAGATTACAAAGCCCGCCCCACCCTGTCTGCCCGCTCCCACCCTCTCTCCACTCTTTGATCTGGGTTTATTTTGCTTCTAGGATTGTGGCAAAAAGACC